TCCAGGCCTGGCTCTGCCTGCCCTCAACTCCCTGGGAGGCCTCTGGAGGCCTTGACCTCAGAGGGTGCGGCCACATCAGCACTGCCAAAACCTTAGTCTGTCCACGCCACCCTCAGATGCTCTTGCCATAACTACTTCCAGCCTGGAATGTTCTTTATTTCATGCTCTCCTTTAAAGCAGCTCACTTTTAATATGAAAGTTATATTTACTTAAAAGGGAAACTATAGCATTGCCACAGTAGGGACCACATCCCTCATTGCAGTTAGAAGGAACATTGGTGTGAGCACAATTGGGGTACACTCCCATTGGTTCTGGGGTGCTCAAGGCTGCAGCTGCTGTCTTTGTTCAACACAGAGAAGGCAGGTGTCTGGGAGGACACTGTCCTCACAGCATGGGCTCTTCTTCCTGACCATCCATCAGATGGCTGGAAAGCGAGCTGCTCAACAGGACTGAGCTATGAACTGCCTGTTCCATGTACCACAGGAAATCATCCTTTGCAGGTGATGGTTGTCCTTCTTTTGGGATGACTTAAGGTCCTCCAGCACTGGGGTCTTGGGCGTCCGGGTAATTGGGCATCTTCAGATCTCTTTCTTTCTAGGTCAGCTGAGCCAGGCCCTGGGACTGTGACCTGTAGCAGCAGTTAGGGGGAGGGAGAGGGGACTGTGACCTTTCTAGAGCTGGAACTGCCTTCCAAGGAGTCTTGCTAGGGACTGCCTGAATCCTCATAAGCCAGTGTGACTTCTTTTTTTTTTTTTAAAGTAAAATTCCAAGTTCAGAGTAGTTAATTGTGTCATTTATTCTTTGCATCCATAATTGTGCATGATAGCGATTTAATTATCACCGGCCCAAGCCGACAGCGCTGCATGCCTGATTTCAAGCTGAATAGAGGTAGATAATATCCGAAGACTCTTTAAAGGCAGCAACGGCCGTTACCAGGCAGCCAGGAGCCAGCTATAAATAAATCTCTGTTGGCCATAACCAGCTGTACTGTCAGCCACACAGAGCTCCATGAATTGGATCAAGTGGTTCTGAACAGGGAAGATTTAATGGAACCACTCTGAGAGAAGGCTTCAGAACCTTGCAGGCAGCACTCTCCATCACAGCAATATTTCCGGGCTCACATTCAATAGTGAGATGAATAACTGAAGGATTAAAGTCACCACCCAGGGCCTAGATGGTTGAGAGGACAGAACCCTGAGCCGGGAGCAAGGAGGCACTAACCTTGGGCAAGTCTCCCGCTCTCGGAGGCCTTGGTTTCCCTAGTTGTAGAATGGTGGTTGGAAGGCAGGGTTGGCCTTCAGAGGCTCTACCCTGCTCTGGGTCACAGCAATGCCAGGGCCTCCAGGTAGCAGACATCTCCTGTGTAGGGGCATCAGGCTCCACACCTGCCCCGTATCCCTGCAAGTCAAGGACCCCGCCAGGGGCTGCTGTCTCAAGCAGCTAGGTTTTTGCCCCAAACCTCTGGCTGGTCCAGGTAGCAGACATCTCCTGTGTAGGGGCATCAGGCTCCACACCTGCCCCGTATCCCTGCCAAGTCAAGGACCCCGCCAGGGGCTGCTGTTTCAAGCAGCTAGGTTTTTGCCCCAAACCTCTGGCTGTGTGTTCATACTCAGAAGGACCCTCAGAGCAGCTGCAGCTCTGAGTCAGGTCATCCAGGGCAGCAGAACATGGCAGACAGTGAGTGGGGCATTCTCTGGAGAGTGTGCATCCTCTGGGGACACTGCAGCCTGGCCCAGGGCAGCCCACCTGTGCCACTCCCTGCACAAGAGGAAACCTGGGCCTGGACACCTGGAGCTGCTCCCGTGGCCCCCTTTGCTCACAAGTGATGGTTTCCCACTTGCTCAGGAAGATGAGCCTTTTCACAAATGTGAACTCACCTATGAGCATCTCCAGGCCCAGAGCAGCACGGAGAGTGGGCCCAGCGTCTAGGCTGAAGCCTTAATAAGGCATGGACACTGCCCAGCCCTGGCTTCCCTGGGCGAGGAGGCCCTGCCTGATCTGAAACGCTGCTGTCACACGGAGACCCTATCCAGCAGGTAGTACTTGGGCTCCCATCTCACCTCTTTACTTGTGTTTTTTCTCTTAAGGGTCTCAATAGCCCTGTGAAGCAGGGATCATAGTCTCATGCTCTTCTTCAAAATCTCTGGGGTAGAGTGTTCAGGGATTTCAAGCATTTCAGATGACCAAAAGCACATGTGGTACCATGCACCTCATGTAGTGCCCCAAATGGGTGTGGGGCAGCACCCCATAATCAAACACACCCCTGTGCCTCAGGGGAACATGTGAATATTCACATTTATAACTAGCCTCGACAATTTGGGTTTGGTCTCCAAATAAGTTCAGGTAGAGTCAGGCTTCATTTGGATTCCAGATTTGCAAATTGGAGGTTAGAGGGTCAAAATTGTAACCACCTCTACGTTCCAGGTGAGAAACCAGAGACACTAGAGGGGGTTAATCACACTGGCTAGTGACTGGAAGAGCCCAATTCACACCCAGACCTGCTGGGCCAGCACCTGCCTTGGCAATGGGACCCCATCTGTCAATCCATCTTCCAACTTGCTGGGCACCTGCAAAATGACTGTGAACAACACCCTGACCTTGGATGGGTACCTCACCACTAGCAACAGACCAGATGAGGACCAACTTGGCCAGCATGGTCTGGAGGGGAGAAGTGAGATCAGCTCAAGCAGCCCCCCACTAGGCAGATGGGCGCAGGACTTAATCCAGAGCACACTGTAAGGCCAAGGCCAAGCCAGGGCCTGGGGTAGGGATCCTCTGGCAAAGGGATCTGTCTACTGCACTATGACATCAGGTAGCCTAGGCACCCTGCCCTGGTATAGTCAGACTAAAGGGGATGGAGGTCCCCCAAGGTGGGCATAGCTGCCTGTGAGGCCCTGAAGGCCCCACCCACCCCCTCAACTGCTCTCTGAGCTCCTCTGCACAGAATTCCCTGTACCTCTGCACAGAGCAGGTGTCCCATGAGTGTAGGGAAGCTGACCGGTCCCTGAGGGTTACAGTGAGCAGCAGTGTCACCAAGGGCCCAGCTGGGCTTTAGAGTCATGCAGCCCTCCCACTACCCCAGATCCTACCTTTGCACATGAGGGGGAGGCCATGGAAGCATAGGGCACAAAGCACTAGTTAATATTTTACAGGCTTGGTCACATTCACATCTCATTCTGTCCTCACAATATTCCTGAGCAGGGTGAACCCAATTGACAGATGGGGAAACTGAGTTGGAGGGAAATCACAGAGGATGCTCTTTAATGTGAGCACTGCACTTCCCTAAAATCTTTTCAAATTGTGAAACACTGTTCTCATTTCCCACCCTTCTGCGATAAAAGGGTCTCCTCACCCTCCTCCTGGTGGAGGCTAGTTCCTCTCCACTCTCTTGGGCTTGTCTGCCTGGCATCTGAAGCCCTCGTCCTTCCTCAGTGTCAGAGAGGCACAAGTGCATCTGTCTTCCTGGGACTGCAAGATCCACAGAGGTAGCAGGTAAGTCTTGTTGAGGTTGGATCCACCCTCAACTCCCTGCTACCCAGGAAGGGGGCCAGAAATGCAAGAGGTACCTAACAAAATCTGCTGAATGGATGAAATAGTTGGTCAATGCACTTGATATTTCTTTAACAGACACACCCACTCTCAGGAGTGAACAGGACATGCCAGCTGTAGCATAGTCCCTGCTCCCCAGCACAGTTCAAAGCCCCCTGGACTCCTGCAAGGGGCAGGAGGAAGATGAGCTTCTCACAGGGAGTCCTGGGGTGGGAGGAGGCATTGAGATTCCTCCTGGGCAGCCAGGGTGTAGGGAGGAAGGCCACCAACTCTTTCCAGGCAGTTTTCTTTCACCAGGGTGAGCTGATCGTGTAGTGGGGAAGAAACCGCAAGTTCTCTCTTCCCACTGCAAGGTGAGTGCCCAGCAAACAGCTCAGCACCCAGCAGAGAGAGCCAAAAATAGCCTCTGAAGAAGAATTCTGGAAAACCCACTGGCTAGCATCATAGGCAACACCTAATTCCCCTGTATCAGCAACTAGACAGAACCTTGGGTTATTGGAACCCTTTCAGCACCAGAATCGCTTTCACGACACACATGAAGATAGTGCTTGGAACTGCTGGCCCCACAATATGGTGAGAAGGTCTCTCCCAACCCACCCATGGCTGTGTGCATCCAGAGAGTCTCCCTGCAAAGCCCTGGGGAGCAGTTCTTCCCACCCCAGGGCCTCAGCCCATCCCCCACTGCCTCTTCAAGCCACTGGTGACTAATTGGGACCTTCACAAACAATCGCCTACAGGCCCGAGAACAATGGCACCCAACCTCCACACAGCAGAAACTGCTGCTGACACATTTTTCTGAAATCAGCAATTAGATGCCCTTTTTTGTCCGATTCAGCAGATCACAAAGTACTTGGAGCCATCGCCTTCAAACTACTCCTTCCCAGACAGAGGGGATCCCTGCTTACTGCCTGTCACTGTGGAACTGCAAGAGAACCTTGCTGAGCTCTGATGGAGACCTGGTTCAAAACCACAAGCAGCAGCCTCCGCAGTTCTCATTTGTGTTTCCCCACCATGCCAGGTAGTGAGCCAGAAAAGCAGAAAGAGAGGCCTGTGCACAAGGCTCATGAGGGAGGGGTTGCAGCCACCAGGGCCTCCTTTACCCCTAGAGGGGAGGACCTTGTGGTGTGGTCAGCGCCCCTCCTGAGGACCACCTCCAATGAGAAAGCAGAATGCAACGAAAGGGCTGCTGCGGTGTCTCTCACACGCTTGCTCACCTTGCAACAGAACAGCAGCTCATCCATGGCTGAGAGCATGTAAGGCATCAGTCCCTCCTTCAGAGGCCTTGCAGGCTCCTCAGCCTCGGAGGCTGCTGATGAAAACAGCAGGAGGTAACACTCCAGCAATGAGCAAAGGCTTCTCAGAGCTCTGTAAGAAAAGCCAATGCGAGCAGCCCTGACACCATCTCACACCAGCACACAAACGACCGTCGGACGCACACCAAGGGCACCTACCCACACTGGTTATCTTCTGAGAGCTGAGATCACGCAGCAGGGCTTCAATTGCTGGGTTCTGTCTGGAGTACAGCTCGTATCGGTTAATGCCAATGTGGAATTTGAGCCAGTTGGGATAGGAGTCCACGGCCGCCTCCCCAGTGGGTAGGAATTCTTCACCTTCAGCACCTTCATGTGTCCTACAGAAAAGGAAGATGACCCAAAGTCAACAAGAACAACAAAAGAATAAAGTTGCAAGTTCTGGAGGTGGTCATCAAAGCCAAGGTTTTTAACCCAAAGTTTCAAATAAATGCAGATCTATCAAAAGGTGCCTCTGCTCAAAGAGGGCCCTGCAATGTCTGTGCTTTCTTTTGTGGCTGTTGTTCTACCAACTAATAACACATCTAACTGCCTATAATTCTTATTTACTCTTGGGAGACGCCACAGACAGCTATAACTACAGCAAGACTAATCCCAGAACGTCAGCGCTATGCCCACCGCGTCTGTCCTGGGGTCACCACAACTGCCCGACAAGTATGATGTCAGCTGGGGGTGGGAGGGGCTGTCGGCTCTTCCTGGAGCAGAGGAGGGAACCTATCATTGACCACAGATTGCATGAAAGTCACAGAACAGACACACCCAGTCTGTCAGAAACCTTCCCTGGGCTCTCTGCTTTTGTTCCAACAACCAGGGCTAGGAAGGCTCTTCCTGGAGCAGAGGAGGGAACCTATCATTGACCACAGATTGCATGAAAGTCACAGAGCAGACACACCCAGTCTGTCAGAAACCTTCCCTGGGCTCTCTGCTTTTGTTCCAACAACCAGGGGTAGGAGCCAGGGCTAGGAATGATGCAAGAGGCTAAATTTGATTTTAATGCGAGCAGTCACGGGTGGAGAGAGAGGAAACAGGCAGCCACCTTCTCCAGCCCAGGCTCAAATTGAGGACCTGCCACCCACCCAGCCTGTCCACTCATCTCTGGGGCCCAGGGGGCAGTCTGGAAGAAGGCAGACCCTCTGCCTGCCTGCTGGGCTGGAGGGAGAAGTGGAATTTGTCTCAACTCTAATTCACCTGCAGGTGAGGCCCTTTTGGCCCCAAGTTCTGTCCTACAACGGGGCAGGAAGGGTGGGCTAAAAGTCTCCCAGAAGCCACCTCCCCGACTGCTTCCTCGCTCTGGGCTGCCCATCTCTCCCCATGGAGGGCCACAGGCCCAGGGCCACTGGTCTGATTCTCAAGTTTCTGAGCACTTCCTTGAACCTGGCCAGCAGACAAAGCTCAGAGGCCACCAAACTGCCCAGCATGCTTAGACAGAAAACACTAAGGCTGGTCATATTTCAGGGAAGAAAAGCTTTTCATGACATGTTTGGAAGCCTGGCCTTTCCCCTCTGTTGCTTGGGTAACCTTTTGCAGGTAGTTATTTATTCTGGACTTGCTGGTAGTTAATATTTCACTACTCTGGATAGCCCCATCTGCTTTATGTGATTTTTGTGGCTGAGGGAAGGGCCTTGGAGGGGGAGTGAGGGGGTTTAAACCAGGAGAGTTTAAAAAGATACTCCTGGGGCAGCTTCTCGCCTTTTAGAAAGCCGCCACCCCTGTGCAGCCAGCGTGGTTCCAAGGGCAGCCTCCGTCCACACCCTTGCTGGGAGGGCCCCTTTGTTACACCTCTTTGTTGCCAGCAGACTCCTCTGCTAATTTTGTTCTCAGCGACTGATTTTAAAAGACTCCCTAGGCACATCCAGACCTTCTCAGAGGTGTCCACCCAGAACAACGTCACCGAGTAACTGAAAGCCAGGCAGCCCAGCACCTTCCCAGGGAAAAGTGACTCTCATTCACTCACTCACCAACTCATTCATTCATTGCCTGACTCCATTTCCCAAGCCAGTGGCCAGGGCTGGCCAGCACTTCTTTCTTGTAAATGGGGTACTGATACTCCCCCTGGCTCCGTGTATCCAGTCTGCCTTCCACACCAGTGCAAACCACCCAGCAGTCCTTCTCAAGGAGGAAGTCATTCTGGAGACAAAGGCAGTGCCCAGAGCAAGAGGCAGCTGCCCCGCCCCAGAAAGCTCCCCTACTCAGGGCCACTTTGACAGGGATCCCACCCTCCTGGGGTCCCTGAACCTCTGTACGCTGTGCCTTGGGTGCATGGCTCCCTCAGGTGTCGGGACCTGCCAGTCCCCACTCACCAGTCCGGGTTCTCCGCTGCCTTGGGGTTGAATCTGATGTCGCTGTTCACATTAAACAGGACGTCGTCCTCCGTTAGCGGCGGAACAGCGATCCGGTAGAGTGGATGTTCAAACAGCCTGGCCAAAAGTGAGCCGTCCCCGCTCGGGCCAGGGGGCGGTGCCGACCGACGGGAGCCGGGGTCTCGGAGCAGCGGCNCCGCCAGCTGCAGCCTCTCGGCCCCTCCCCAGGCGAGCCGAGGGCCAGAACCCAGGCCAAGTCCCTCCCCGGAGCCGCTGGGCGTCTGCGCCGCCGGATGAGCTCCCCGCCGGGCGGCGACCTTGTGCCCCACGCCCCCGTCTCGGGCCACAGCGCGCCCAGCAGAGAGCGAGGCGGAGGAGGAGGGGGCGATGGGGCCGTCGCTGACGAAGAGGAGAGGAGTGTAATTTGGGGCCCAAATCCGGAGGGAAGGCCAAATCAACGGCGAGAATCGTAGCACCCGGCTGGGGCCCCACCCCACCCAAGGGTACCACGCCTGCCCTTAACCCTGGCGGCGCCGGCGCCCCAGCTGGAGTTCGCTTAGCCTTGAATGGTACCGGTGTGGGCAGGAGGCGGCATCTTCCCCGCTTTGGGCGGGGGCTGTGTGTGTGTTTTTGTGTGTGTGTGTTTTTGTGTGCGTGTGTGTGTGTCTTATTTGCCTCCCCCACGTGCAAAGTCGACCACCCACACCCAGGGGAGAGGCACTTCTGCAACGTGGCCTCTTCTGCGACCACGCACCTTCTGGATCTCCAGCCCTCAAGAGGGTATATTAATTAATATTCAGCCTTAAATCACAGTTAGGAAGGTAAGTGAGGGGTGGAGGGAGCAAATACATCCACTGCCAAGCACACAGGCTCTCTGCCCCCACGCCCTGCGCTTCATTGCCTGCAAATTTCCAAAGCAGGTAGATGAAGAATCCCTCCCTAACCAGCAGCCTCCCTAGCAGGACTTCCCTATCTTCTGCCTGGGGGTGAGGGGACCAGGGTCCAGAGCCCCTTTCTTTTCCATTCACTCACGTGCTGTGCTATCTAGGCCTCACACTGCTCTCTCTGGGCCTTAGTTTTCTCTTATGTGAATTAAGGGCATTGGGCACATTATTCCTGACATGTAGGAGGTGCCCACTAGATACTTGTTCAGTGAAGAAGAGGAATCCTAGCCCAGCTGGACAGCGAAATAGATCTCTCTTAGGCTGTTTGAAATAAGTGAAAGGGCCAAGTTCAGCTCTCCTAGAGCTGGAGGTTGTGTTGGGGTGGGGGGCAGAGACTAGAGGGTGAAAGTCAGTTTGACCTAGAGATGGACCGCTTGGAAGACCACTGTTTCATTCTGTGCAAATGGAGCTCATCCCTTTCTTCTTTCCACTTACATTGACTGCACATTTGTTTGTAGACAGGGTTACTCCGAGAGACCAAGGAGATGGTGTTAGAACTGAGATGGTGAGAAGGAAGCCCCCACCTTCCTCCAAGATCTGGAGGTAGGCGGGTGGGGAAAGTGCCAGGGTGAAAAGCAGTAGGGATGGATGCCTTATGGCAGGCAGGAGCTTGGGGCTGAGTCTGTGTTCACCCAACTCAGCAGGCATCTCCATTGGCCTTGGGTTTCTGTAGGATCCAGACCCCTCATCCCTCCCATGGTCTGCAGGCCCTGGACCTGATGAACCATCGACAGCAGGTGCGGGAGCCTCACTGGGGCTTCCGGCACACATTTTAATTGCAGTTTCTCTCCCCCCCCCCCCCCCCCCCCCCCCCCCCCCCCCCCCCCCCCCCCCCCCCCCCCCCCCCCCCCCCCCCCCCCCCCCCCCCCCCCCCCCCCCCCCCCCCTCTGTAGGATCCAGACCCCTCATCCCTCCCATGGTCTGCAGGCCCTGGACCTGATGAACCATCGACAGCAGGTGCGGGAGCCTCACTGGGGCTTCCGGCACACATTTTAATTGCAGTTTCTCTCCCCCCCCCCCACCCCACCCCTATTCTCTTGGGAGCCAAGATGTTATTTGGACACTTCCATTCACCACTGGGTGGCTCCCTTGAGTAGTTCTTGGTCCATCTCAACTGTCACCTCCTTAGAAAAGCATTGTCTAACCAGGTCATGTTAAACTGCCCCCTGCCTTTGCCTCCCTACCCCACCACTCTACTTATTTTCCTAGCAACACCCATCACTACTGGAAAATACTTTCTTCTTTTCCTATTTATTGTGTATCTCCCCCAAAATGCATATACTCCTCTAAGACAAGAGCCTCAAATGCTGCCTTGTTCACAGTTCTGCCTGGGGACCTGGGCACAGAACAAGTGCTCAAAGAAGGGACTACAACCACAATCCAACTTGGGTACGGTGTGAACAGGCTAAGGTGACACATGTGACAAAAATCTTTGAAAACAGCACACCCACAGGAAGGGAGAGTAGGATAAACCCTTAGCTGAGTCTTTCTGCCTGGTTCCTTGAAACTTTGCTTTGAGGAATAATTTGATTTGGTTCAGTTGATCCATCCATGGAAATCACAAAGAGCAAACACACACACAAAGACACATATTATATATGGACACACACAGAGACACATAGAGACACAAAGACATGCAGATATACACAGACACATGTAGACACAGAGACAAATGCAGACAGATACACAGACACATATAGACACGCAGAGACACACAGACACAGAGACACATGCAGACACACGCACAGACTCATGGACACACAGAGACATGCAAACAGATGCACACACAGACACAGAGACACGTGCAGACAGATATACACACACAGACACATATAGACACAGAGACACACACAGACATACAGAGATACATGCAGAGAGATACACACACAGATGCACACACCTAGACACACACATGCACACGGCCTGAACCTCCAGTAGGCCTCTGCCTCATTGTTCAGTGGGCAGAGCCCCTCCTGGCCACCCCCCTTCCCGGTCAGGCTGAGGTGCTCAGCAGAGGGTACCTGTAGATGAACATGTGGCCCCAGCAGAGACCAGGGGATGGTCTGGGGACTTTTTTCTTCCAAAGGCTGAAGCTCCAATAAACCAATGTGAAATATGTCAGGTGGTAACAGGAATCATGTAAAAAACAAAACTGAGGGGCAGAGAAGAGGGCAGCGTGCAGGTGACAGGCAGCCCACCTGAGGTCTGCAGGTAACGGCTGTACTATGGGCTATGTCCTGGGGGAGATGGACCATTGCAGGGCTGAGACAGAGGGGGGCGAGGGCCTCAGGGCAGGGAGACTGGCCTGGCTGCTGAGAGGGTGAGGGCAGATGCATGGAGACCATTTAGGGGTTGTGGCACGGCCTAGGTGAGAGGAGGTCTGAGGATGGAATAAGAGATCAGCCATGGGGTGGGGAGAAAGGAGAGTCCAGCCAGATCCCTGGGGGAAAGGTGTTGCCATTGCATGGATGAGTGGATCTGGGTGATGAGAGTTAGGAAATTGATCTTGGATTGTGAGTTGTCATCATATCAGAGCCATTCGATAGATGGGCTCACCAGGAATGAACAGGTGCAGAAGACACAGGGCTGAGAACTGGGAGGTACAGAGACCTACCTGGTGGGGAACAGGGCAGGAGCCCTGAGCCACAGTGTCCCCAGGAGAGCAGGAAGCACAGTGTTGGGTGCTTCCTGGAGGATGAGGATGGAGGCTGAACAGGTAAGGGGGAAGTTCCCAGGAAAAGCACCTAAACAGGGGTAAGGTGTGTGATGCAGATCTAAGAGTCTCTGGGGATTTAGAGTTAGCCTTCTCTTCCTAGTAAGGAGTAGGAGATACCCTTACAAATGGGGATTTCCTTTATGGACATAAATTTCTCTCACAAAAAGGGTAACTTCTACTCTTGTCTTCAGGGTTTCTCCTGTGACTGCAATTTCTCAAAATAATTAGCTCAAAAGAATCCTTATGTCAAAAGGCATAGTTTGGGGTGGCATTATCTGGTCTCCTCCTTGTGAAAGGGAGCCGAGAAATGGGGTGGAGGCTGGAGATGAGGGCAGGACAGACATCCAGTTCCTGGACACAGGTGAGGGAACCTGCATGCTAAACTCTGGACCTCAGGGTCTTGCAGAGATTCTCTGAGGATGCTGAGTCAATCTGCCCAGGGAGTTCCAGGCTCAGCGAGGCTCAGCCTCTGCTCTGCAGCAGCCACGAGGGGAGTGACGAGGCTGTAGTGGGGGGTGCAGTGTTGCAAGGTCCCTCACAGGAGGTGTCATGACTGGGCCAGTGGACATATTGGGATTTCCCAATGAAACACAAAGAGAGGAGGAACTTTCCAGGCAGAGAGAGAGCAGCCTGGCACAGGATGCAGAGGTAGGGCCTTTGAGGTTCTGTCACCGTTGGGTTGCTGGAGACTTGTGGCAGGGGAAGATGCCATCTGCTTCTTACCATTTAAGGCAGTTGAGCAGTTGTCTGCCCAGTTTTGCCCCCACCAATGTGTTACTCTTTTGAGTCCTGGTGAAAGCACAGGACTCCTCAGAGGAGATGAGCCAAAAGCCCCAAGCCCCTGGGGGTGCAAAGCTACCAGCTGGCCTGGCTGAGGACCCACCATTGACCTTTAAAAAAAAAAAAAAAGAGGCTGCTTCTAGGTAAATACAGAGGTGGCAATGGGAGTGCAGAGCAATTGGTGTGCTGTCCTTGGTGTAAGACAGGGAAAGAAGGAAGGGTGCATATGAATAGCCACAGAAGGGGCTGAGACCGAACTGGAGACTGATGCAGTGGTCATCTGTGAAGTGGGGCACCGGATGGTACAGACGAGGGTGGGAAAGAGACTTTGGGCCATAAAGTTTGGGGGCACATGTCGGCACGGGAATAGAAAGAGCTGGAGGAGAAAGCCGCTCTAGGAGCCACAGGCCAGAGGAACAAGCAGATCATGAGTGGGCAGGGGTTTATTTGTCCTCAGCTCTGCCCCCCCTCCAGGGACACCCCCATGTCTAGCTGGGGTTCTATCAGCTGCAGGATGACATACCCCCTGGACCCAGCCCAAGGGTCGGGGGCAGGTGTGGAGGAGGAAGGCACACGTAGCTCCGGCCTGGCCCCTGCACCTCTGGGGATCCTGCAATGTTTTCCTAAGGATGAGTCATCCAAGATCCACCCAGAAGGCTCCCTGGCCGTTTACCACAGGCCAGCTCTGGCCACGGGCTATATTGAGAGCGAATCATGTAAAAAACAAAACTGAGGGGCAGAGAAGAGGGCAGTGTGCAGGTGACAGGCAGCCCACCTGCGGTCTGCAGGTAACGGCAGCTGGAGGAGAAAGCCGCTCTAGGAGCCACAGGCCAGAGGAACAAGCAGATCATGAGTGGGCAGGGGTTTATTTGTCCTCAGCTCTGCCCCCCCTCCAGGGACACCCCCATGTCTAGCTGGGGTTCTATCAGCTGCAGGATGAAATACCCCCTGGACCCAGCCCAAGGGTCCGGGGGCAGGTGTGGAGGAGGAAGGCACACGTAGCTCCGGCCTGGCCCCTGCACCTCTGGG